GTCTCCTCCCCGTGACCCTTCTGTAAGGGGATCTCCAGTTGCCTACAGATGGGCTTTGGGTCCCCACTCACAATGATATGATTTTTTGTTCTGTGATGCCTGATACCTCATGCCTTCAACACCGCATGATCACACAGGTTGGTGTGCTTCTTCCAAGTGTGCTTTGTTGCTTCTGAGCTAGATGGCCGCTTGTTTACCTTCAAGCCTTTAAGACCCCAGACGCCATATCTTTTGATAGCCGGGCACCATCAGCTTTCTTAACCACATTGGCTTATGCACCCCTTTGTCTTCAGTGATCTTATCTGGGAGGTGAGCACACAATGATGATTTTTTCTTCTTTGATGCCTGATAACATCCCTTCGGCACCTTGTAATCACACAGGCTGGTGTGCTTCTTCCATGTGGGCTTTGTTGCTTCTCAGCAAGGTGGCCGCTTGTTTACCTTCAAGTCTTTAAGACCCCATACGCTATATCTTTTGATAGCTGGGCACCATCAGCTTTCTTCACCACATTTGCTTATGCCATTGAATTACAATTCTTCTCAAGGTTGCCCGTAGTTTATGATCATCCACAAAGTCAAATGCCTTTGCAGAGTCAATGAAGCACAAGTAAACATCTTTCTGGTATTCTCTGCTTTCAGCCCAGATCCATCTGTTGTTAGCAGTGATATCCCTTGTTCATGGTGTCCTCATCTGAATCTGGCCTGAACCTCTGGCAGCTCACTGTTAATTTATTGCTGAAACCATGGTTGGATGATCTTCAGCAAAATTTTGCTTGCATGTGTTGTGCAAAGATCTCTTTCAATTAGTTGGTCAAATAGCTGTCTTCCAAATTTCTTGCCATTAAAGTATAAGTGCTTCCAGTGCTTCATTGGCCTGTTATAACATTTCATTTAGCATTCTATCAATTTCTGGAGCCTTGATTTTGGCTAATGCCTTCAGTGCAGCTTGGACATTTTCTGCAGTACCACTGATTCTTGCTTATATGCTCTCTTTTGAAAGGATTGACAAGTTCTTTTAGTACAGTGACTCTTTAGTATTCTTTCCTTTTTTTAAAAAAAATGCTTCCTGCATCATTCAATACATTTCCCATTGAATCTTTCAATATTCAGCTCAAGACTTGATTTTTTTTTCATGAGTTCTTTCAGTTTAAGGTATGCTCAGCATGGTCGTCCTTTTGTATTTTCTAACTCTAGGTCTTAGAACATTTCATTACATTTGGCTTTGTCTTCTCGAGCCGCCCTTTGAAATTTTCTTTTCAGTTCTTTGAGTTCATCATTGCTTTTGCTTTCTTTGTGGATAATGCGCAAGTCTTCTCTATTATTAATGTTTAATGCAGCAAATCTCATGAGATGTTCTCAAAATTCAGGTGGGATAGACTCAAGGTTGTATTTTGGTTCTTGTGGATTTGTTATAATTTTCTTCAGCTTCAACTTGAACTTATGTAAATACAGTGTTCCACAGTCCATTCTTGGCTTAGTTGCTGGTATCGAGCTTCTTCATCATCTCTTCCCACAGATGTAGTTAATTTGATTTCTGTGTATTTCATCTGGAGAAGTCCAATTGTATTTGCTATGAACAAGTTGTTATTGATGTTGCAAAATTCTATCATGCCATCTCCAATTTCCTTTCTATCACCAAGGACATACTTTTCAATTATCTCTTCATTTCCAACTTTTGCATTCCAATCACCAGTAACTATCAATGCATCTTGATTGCATGTTTGATCAATGTCAGAAGATTTTGGTAGAATTCTTCAATTTCTGCATAACTAGTTTTAGCAGTAGGTACATAAATTTGAATTGGTGATTGGATTTCCTTGCATGCGGTTAGACAATATGCTATCACAGACAGCGATGTACTTCAGGTAGATTTTGAAATGTCCTTTTTACAATGAATGCAATGCTACGATTTCTCTTGATTGAGTCATTCTCAGCATCGTAAATCATATGAGCTTCTGAGTCAGAATGGCCAATGTCAGTTTCAGCTCACTAATGCCTAGAAGATTGTTATTTATGCATTCCATTTCATTTTGAATGAATTTTAACTTTTCTAGATTCAGACTTAATACATTCCAAGCTCTGTTATTCATTGATGTATGTAGCTGCTTCTTCTCATGAGTCATGCCCCACCAGCAAATAAAGGTCCCGGAGGCTTTCCCCTCCTTTGAGAAGGCAGCTCTTCCTCAGTCAGATTTTGAGTACCTTCCAACTTGAGTGGCTTGTCTTCTGGCCCTGTCAGAGTTCTGCTTCTGTTCATTAGGTGTTCACATGCTGTCCATAGGGTTTTCTGTGGCTAATTCCTTTGGAGGGGACAGATTAGTCCTGCTTTGTATTCTGTCCGTAGTCCGGAAGGTCTGCTGTAACCTGCTGTCTTTGGGTGACCCTGCTGATATGTGCAATACCAGTGACACAGCCTTCAGCACAGTCGCAACACACAAGCACGCCACACCACGGGCTCCTCAGGTTTCCGTCAGGCTGCCGACACTCTGACAAAGAAGTGCCTGATGGAAATCCGAGGGACCCGGGTTATTACCAGCTTTAGCGAACTAAGTATGTTTTGGCTTACAAAACATCTACATAATTTTCCTAATTTTGTCTGTTATACACCTAACACATTTTTCAGAGAGAAACATCTCAGTTCTAGTTTTCCCTCTATCATTTGCCCCCAAATTTCCTAAACAAAATTTATTTTTTAATCATCTACCTTCTTTATGTGCAAGTCCCAATCACCTTTTGTAAGTTTCTGGTACAAGATGGTTGGGAATTATTTTTAGAGATTAGATCTGAGAATATCCTTGTACAGTGTGGAGAAAAGAGGCAAACTAGTTCTTAACTGTGGAACCCAAACCATCTACCATTCCTTTTCTCGTGAGTACCCTCCGTGCAGTGCAGCTGCCGCCAGCTGCGTTTCCCGTCTTCAGCTGTTGTCCCGGGCAAGTGGAACGTCAGCTCTGACGTCCTGTTTTCATACAGCCAGCATCTGAGAGAGGTAGCAGACAGCAGGTCTGACAGTCTCTCAGAATCGTCTGGAGAGTTTCCTCTGGGTCTGAGTTCCAGAGCGTATGAATTAATAGGTCTTTAGGACCTATGTATTAGAAATTATTTTTAAAAACTCCCTGGGGTAGCTAGGATTGAAATCAGAGGCATATGAAACCACCATTCTTAATAATTCAGTAGTTCCCACATGTCCAATTTAGTGACACTGATGGCATTCTTAAGAGTTGTGCCACCACCCAACCCTCCTGGGCTCCTCCTTAATGCGCCCCGCCCAGTGCGGTTCCTGTCATCTTTTGAGTTGCGCTGTCACTTTGATCCCGTAGATAATTTTACGATTGACTTCTTTCTGTCAGCATGTCCTCTTCCGCGTCAAGACGTCATTATTCCTACAGGCTGAGTAGTGTTCTATTGCATTCATTCCATTCTATTCCATTCCATTCCACAGAACAGACGGCAATCTGTCCATCTGTTGAGTCCCATTTTCCATTCTGTTGTATTCCACGCCATTCCATTTCATTGAATTCCATCCCATTTACTCCATTCCCCTGAACAGACCATACTCCATTCTTCTGCTGGTAAACATTGAGATGGTTTTCACGTTGGCTGTAGTAAATAGTGTGCTGCAGTGAACACTAGTATGCAGGTCCGTTTGCGTGTCTGGCCTCCAGTCTTTGGGATAATACCCAGGAGTGGAATTGCTGGGGTGTATGATAGTTCTGGTGTACAGTGGACGATGCACTGAACTGCCAGTCATGTCAGTGATACAAAGCATGGTTGCTCTGCTGGAGAAAAATGATGTTGTGCTCGTGGGTTTGAGCTGCAGAGCTTGTAGACTGCAGCCAGTGCATAAGCGCTGCACCACTGCGGCTCCCTGCTGAGCCACCCTAGTGGGGGAGTACAAGGGTACTGGCAGCTTTGATTTGCATCTCTGGTGGCTAATGATGCTGAGCATCTTTTTGTGTGTCTGCTTGGGAGCTTTGGCCAAATATTTAATTCCACTAGATGCATGCATGTTACAGCATGACACAAGTACAAAGGACAACACCCAGTAAAACCAGTGCAATTTATGCAATGTTTTATTTTTCATGACTTAGGATATGGACAATATTGAGGACTGGTGCTAAATAGGCATTAATGTCAACAATACTTGATCAACAATACTTGCATAAAGTGCTGATAAATAACTTAAATGTTACAAAAAAGGTCAGTGAACATTACATTGTAAAGCATCACTAGACATACAGGATAGCTCCGGTGTCGGGGTGACGTGCGGGTTCAGATCCCTACAGTTTCGTCATGAGAACGGGACTGCACATGCTCGAGCTGCCCAGAATCAGAAACATCATAGCTTGCTTTGTACTTAGCCAAAATTTTCATCACTGGCCGCAGTTTCAACCACCATTGTTCTTTGGGAATTCGGTGCCTGTGATGGGAGAGAAAAGGGCAGTCGGGATGACGCCTGTTGCTGGGAGCGGACTTGTGCCTGCCACTGCACTACCATGGCTAGTTCTTACCAGGGCTTTGGACACTTTGTGGGAAGATGGAATGAAAAGATATGGAACTTTCCCATACACCTTTTGAAGCTCTTGTTCCCTACCTCCCCTCCCCACATAATAGTCTAGGCCGTCATAAGAAAATAGTGTTTGTGGAGTCAGCGAAATGGGCTGTAGATAAAGCCACTTTCATAGCTTAGTAGTAATCACTCTGTTTATATGTCTAAAATTCTGGCCCATTTCTAACTTGGCTTTAAAAAAGCTTATGTTTCTCTGAAACTACTTAAAATTGAGCAGGTTTAAAATAACTAAGAGCACAGTGTCCCAGTGCTTCATGCCTCCCAGTATTACTTCCAAAGGCAGTAAGACCTGGATGTTTTATGATTCACTTACTTGAAGTCTGTGTCCTTCCTTAGGTCTGCCACTGGTTGGAAAATAAGGTTTCTTTTGCTAATTCCCAGCACACAGACGGAGTTGTCAGTTACAAACTTCTTCCCTATGAAAGTGGAAGAAAAGAAAAAAAGATGTAAGAACTAAGACATCACAGTGAATGGGCAGATAAGATGGTATTAAAAAAACAAAAACAGGAAAGGTCAGAAGAAAGATTTGCTGACTTCTGGGAACAGAACCATCTGGGGGACATCGGGGAGTGGGAGCAAAGGACTGGGCAGTCCTGACAAGCGTCCTGGTTGTTCCCATGGGGCGCGGGCAGCAGAGCTGGGTGGCAGAAGTGGTTTGCCATCATCTAGATCAGGAGCTGCTGATAAAAATGTTGGTGGTTCGACCCCACCCATGGGCTCCACAGAAGAAATGCCTGCCAACCTGTTTCCATAGAGATGACTGCTAAGGAAACCCTAAGCCGGGCAGTTCCAGTCTGGAACACGTGGCAGTGCATTTGGTGTTGTGCACCGGTGTTTCCAGCCAAATACCAGCACAGAGACGCTCGTAAGATGGAATTTCCCAAGATGCCCTGCTTCCCCCTACAGTGATTACTGAGGTGCCCTGCATCCCTGCTGCAGCCTTGGTGGGGAATAGAGGCCAGGGCTGTAGCGCAGACTCCCCTGTTTTCTGCACCTTCACGGGTGTTGTGTTGGCTACATGCCTCTCGTTAGCAATCGATCCTACCACCAAATGCCATTCTTGTGAAGCTGCTTTCCCAGTTGGTAGTGAACAAAGATTTCATTACAGACGAGAACAGAAAATCTGATTGAATTTCAGTAAGAAGAGTTTCAGTTAGATATTAAGAAGGTTTTTGCTTTGTGAGAATTACAAAACCCTGTTAAGTGTCCCCAAAGTAAAAGGATCCCTTCACTAAAATCAATAACAGAAAGTAGAGTCCCTGGGCAGTGCAAACGGGTAAGCACTTGGTTACTGACTTCAAGCTCACTGGGAGGTGTCTCGGGAGACGGGCCTGGTGAGCTGCTTCCAGAGGCACACCCTTGCCACGCCACCCAGGGCACTTCTGCTCTGCACGCGTGGGGCCCCAGGAGTCGGAACCGACCCGGCAGTAACTTACAACAATGAGAAAGCTAATTTATCTGGATTGACCATCCTGCCAGAAATAAAAACAAAACCAAAATGTAAAAGAATTACCCCTTGCTAGCCCAGGCCAATCTGTATTTGGGGGAGAGTAAGTGATGGTGGCCCAGCCTGAAACAGCTGCTGTTGGTTCTCAAGACAGTGGTGTGTGTGCTGACCTCAGTGGGGGGCAGTAGTGGATAATGAATTTACAAATGCACATGGACCATTAAAAAAAACCAACCCTGAGCAGATAGTAGGACATTAGCAAGCAAAGTGAGCTCATTGTAGCCGAGTCACTTTGGCTCCCTGGTGACTTGGTGGGTTTCTGGAAGCAGCTGCCCCCGTGGAGCAGGGCCTAACTCCTGGACGACCAAGGCTCATAAACAACTCCTGGGTCCAAAGAGTCTTCAGAAGAAACACTCTGAAAAATATTTTGAAGCAGATACTAAATGGAAATTTATACCATAAAATAGATACACTATGAGAGGCTCACCAGTCATGAGGAGTGCATCCAAAGGGAAATTGGGATCGGAAGAAAATAAATCCAAAGAGTAAAGCCAATGGGGAGAAAATAATCAGCAGAAAGAATCAAAGCCCAAAGCCGGTTCTTTGAAATTATTAAAAGTAAGCTAAGATTTTCTTCTTACGCTGCTGTTTTTGTACATTGTTTGTGTCTCTGGTTTACCCTAATCCAAACACTAGCATTGTTAAAAACACAACCAGACAGGTTTGAGCCCACTAGAAAGGCAGTAATGAAAGTCATTCTGCATCAAGTGTGAGCTCGAGAAGGAGAGTGGTGGCTCGGGTGTCCTGTCAACTCGGTGTACCTGTAAGATTCCATCTACCAGACAGGCCACAGCCTAATGATGTCTTCTCTTGGAGGTATGTGTGGCCTCTTTCCAAGAGGCCTGTTGGAGACAGGCCACTCTCTCGTCTTGATCCTTCTTGCTTCTGAGGCCAGCGGCCCAGGCCATTTGTAGACCCCAGGCGCTGTTGGCAACCTGTCATCATCTTGCCGACCTTGGCTCTGTGTGACTCTGCTCCCATCAGCCTGTCATCTCCCAGCTTCCCACTTCGCCTGCCTGCTTCCTGGCCTGCCGCTGCATGAGTTTGAAGGGCTTCCAGTTAGTATCTGACCCTTGGACTTGAGGTGGACTGGGCTGGGCCGCTTCCTTGATATAACTTCTCTTTTGATACATAGCGGTTTCAGATGCAGTTGAGTGTCATTGGTTTGCTTCCCTAGAAAACTCAGGTGAACACAGAGCCACCGGAAGGTCTGCACATCACTGGTAAAACCAGTGTGGAAAGCTGGACCTGTGCACATGCCATCGCCAGTGATTCCACTCATGGGTGTAAGTCAAAGGGACAGCACGTGTCCCAAACCTCTCAGGCGCCATGTGCACATGTGTGTGCCAGCATCACACTGGGAAGCCCTCAGGGCCGGTATCCGTTGGAATGGTAACGGGTGGCACACAGCTCGTTAATGGATTATTATGCGATCAAGCACAACTTTACGGTCATCCACCTGAATCCATCTCAAAAAGCGAAGCTGCACAAAAATCAAGTCTCAGAAGACACAGACCAGGGTTTCCATTTATAGTAGGAATAGAAACTTAACTAAATGTGTACGCCAAAGGACCCCAACACACTGCCATTGAGTTGGCTCTGAATCAGCAACTATATACAGTGAATCCTCGCCACTTCGCGCTTCGAC